CCTATCTAGTCGGTTAAGACCACTCTAGGCGGCTTACAACATAAAAATACACAATAGGGGTATATATAAAACAATTTTTACATACTAGAAGACATTTCAACAAGATGGAGACAAACAATGGGGGGAGGAGAAAAAGGGGAGATCAGGATTTAGTTGGGAGGAAGGCCTGCCGAAACATCCATGTTTTTAGTTGATTTTTAAAAATACCCAGCGAGGGAGCCGCACAAATCTCAGGGGGTAGATTGTTCCAGAGGCGAGGAGCCACCGCCGAGAAGGCCCGATTTCTTGTCTTTTCCTTCCGGGCCTCCCTTGGCGTTGGGCTCCTCAGCCTCACCCCCTGGCTCGCACGAGTGACACGAGTAGATCTTGGTGGGAGTAGGCGTTCCACCAAGTATCGAGGCCCTAAACTGTTTAGGGCTTTATACGTAAGCATCAACACTTTGAAGTCGATGCGGAACCGGATGGGCAGCCAATGCAGTGCGGCCAGAGTGGGTGAGATGTGTTGGTATTTTTTCACTCCACTAAGTAATCTGGCCACCGCATTCTGCACCACCTGGAATTTCCGCAACAGCCTCAAAGGCATCCCCACGTAGAGCGCATTACAGTGGTCTGATCTTGAGATCTCTCTCCCCCCCCCCTTTTCTCCTGCAGGAGCTCAGCGAGATCATGTACACAGACCGGCCAGACTGGCAGAGCGTGATGCAGTACGTGGGTCAGATTTACAAGTATTTTGAGACTTGAGGAGCCCCAGCGGACAGAGGCGGGGGACAGCATCCGAACACACACCACGCAAAGCACTCGATCACTTTAGAAGATATACCCCCTATCCAACCACTGCCAAATTTCCTTCCCCCCCCCCCAACTTCTATACAAAGTCCGATGGATATTTCTTGAAACCCTGTAAAAGAACTGGTCGCATTTAACTCTGAGCTGCGCCGGGCATATTTCTCTCGGCTCGGGGCCTCCGTGAGAACATTTTACACACGCACACAAAACAGTGCCAAATAGACTCTAGTCACAAAGGTCTCCGTTGCGGGTCCGGATAGATGCCACATGTGCCCCTTGCCAGTCTCCTGGGAGACGCTGGTCTTTTTTTGGTCGACTGCCGTAAGAACTATTACGGCAATTTGGTTTCTCCGAGCTGCAAACACTTTTGACGGACTCCCACCTACTGGCTTCCCCTCCGCGCAGAGAGTCTCGTAAACATGATGTTTTCTTCATCCTCAAAATGGCTGGCGACAGATAGGCGTGTATGTTCCCCTCACCCAAAAAAAAAAAGAGCGGCCCTCCGTCCATGGCTTGAAACCGTGGTAGTCCATCCCCAAGAGCAGCCGTCTTCAAATGGCCTCGTGTTCGTTCTGGGACAGGGATGCGGCGATGGGGGGAAAGGTTTGTCAACACCCCTGCAAGGTAGGAAGGAAGGTTTATCATGCGGGGCTCTTCCCCACACTGCTAGTGAAGGTCGCCAGTGGGACAGACAGACACACACGCGTGCCAGATCAACAAAATACAAGCCAAACCAGAGATTCCCACATCTTTTAATGCATCATCTAGACTTCCAGGTTTGAGTTCTCCTCCCTCGTCGGGAAACGAGAGAAGATGCACCTCCTAAAATTCTCCTTTTGCCATCTCGGGACCAACAGGGGACCCTGCGTGTTGTCCTAGGTGCTACCGTACATGGGGTTTGGGAAATGTGTGGCTCTCCAGGCGCTGGACTACACCTCCCATCACCCCTGCCTGGGGCTCATGGAAGTTGTAGGCCAAAAAAAGAGAGGAGAACCCTCGGCCGGAAGGAAGCCAGTGGCCGGCCCTGGGATGAGTCAGGCAGCGTGACACTGGCTTTGGAGGGTTGTAGGTGGCCAACGCGGAGGAACGAGAGAGGTCTCGGGAGGGCGAAGCCACTTGAATGAGGGGGAAGCGGAGAGTGAATGGGGACCTTCGCCGGCCCAGAGCAGCGGCTGGCAGCTCTTGAAAAAAAAAAAGCAGTGGTGCCAACTTTTTCTTCACTGGGGCTTCTCTGGCTTTCCGGTCAGCATCACTCCAGCCTGGACTTGTCCAATGCAGAGGGGCACTCTGTGTGTGCCAAAGTTTACCCTGCCACACTTTCCTGTTGGCTGCGCAGCATTTAGGAGCAGAGGAGCCCGTCCAGGAAAAAAGTTGGTGACACTGGCCGGCTCCGTTTTCTTGCCTAACTGTGCGCTGAGAGGACACCGAGCGTAATGGTTGTGTGTGGGCATCGTTAAGGTCTGGTTAACAGGGTGTTCTGCCGTGGGGCAGATTTATCGTAGGCGGCTGTCTGTGGCATAGTTGAGCGAAGGCATCCCCAAGGAAGCGCCAAGCACAGTTGTTGGAGTTGTCGCGGTGGAAGCCTTCAGGCGCGTCTCCTCCTCCTCCGCACGTGTGGGTCAGACCCGAGGCAGGCCATGCAAGATCTGTTGCACGTCAGGAGAATCCGGCACAGCCCCGCTTGATCCCTGGGGATCTCTTTGCCCCCTTGATGTCATGAAAAGGGGCATGGGACGCCCCACTGGAAGGCTTTATCTTTCTCTTGAAAGCCCCATTCCCTTTCTCGTAAGACCGCTCCCCCACCCCCTTGGGTACGTCCCCTTGTTTGGAGTGTTGGCCATGCGCTTGGGAGGCCTACGGTGGTGCTAGTCCTCATGGTTATCCGTGGAAATCCCTTGGCCAGACCCCGGCAGGCCAGCGTTCAGGTTGTTCTCTCTTTCTCTGGATGAAATGTAGGATCCCCGCCCCCACCCCCCAGGGATTTGCAAAAGGATCTGAAGGTTGGGAGGGGGAGGCAGCGGGGAGATCAGGCGGATTAAATCCTCAAGGCCTGTAAAAGGATTAGGACACTCTTTCTATTGTATGCTTAATGATAGTTACGGGAGAAGTCAGACCAGGTGGGAGAATTGGGGAGGGGGGGGGAATGTTCCCGGGACTGCCTGTGGCTTGCAGAGCTTGTCCATTTCGGAGAATGATTAACGTAATCGCCCAAATGAGTACTGGAAGGACAGCACCTTTTTGGGTCGCTTTTCTCAGAATGGCCTTTGGTGCTTGGAGAACGGGGAAATAGACAGGCTCGCCAGCCCTGCGGGCAGGGGGCTGTCTGTGGCAAACCCTTCCCCAGTCTCACCCCTTGGGGGTGGACTACAGGGCCCATCCTCTCACGCCCTGCTTTATTCGAGAGCTGAATCTTCGTTGAAGGGCCGCCGGATCAGAGAAAGCCGATCGAGGAGGCACCGCTTGCAAAATTTGGGTCTTGCTTCCCGGCCTCTTCAAAGGCTCGAGACAGGCGGCTCGGAAATGGGGGTTTCATCTCCTAAGATGCCTCGTTTTGCTATGGGGTAGAGAGTGGAGCTTTTTTGGGGTGGGGGGCTTTGCTTCGGCTCGGCCGGCAAAAGGCGGCAGAGGTGGAGGGAAGGCAGGAGAGTCCCGAAGAGAAGGCAGCGTTGATGTGGCGAGGGGACCGAGGTTGCCGATTCTTAGGTGGTTAAGAGTCTGGTGTCTCTCTTGGAAAGGAAATGTTGGAAAGCGAGCCCCCCATGGAAGATGCCGAGGGTCAGCGGATGGAAGAGCCCTGCCAAGGAGTGGGTCAGGAAAGTGTGAGCGGACGGAAGAGGAGAGGAGCAGGAAGGTGGAGGAATGGTCCCATTTGGGAAGCGAGCGCTGCGTGTGATAGAGCACTGTATGTGATAGACTGTTCTGAGTGATAGAGCGCTGAATTGGTCTAAACCGGACAGCCCCGAGGGCTTCCTCTCCCCACAGAAGGCTCTCGAGGCCAGGGAGATTTTAGGGCAGCTTTCCCCCAATCTTGTAGGGAACGTCCTGCTGTCTGAGCGATGGTCCTGCTTCTCCCCGCGCCCTCCCTCCAGCCACTGCAAGCTGGTCAGAGAGGGTGAGGGTGGTTGCCCAGGACCACAAAAAGATGGGGAAGCCTGTTTTCAGGAGCAGAAAGGTTGGAAAGGTGGATTCAAGTCTGGTTTGGGTGATCCTTTGGAGGAAGGGAGGAGTCTCTTATCCTCCTCCTTTCGCTGCTCCCCCCAGACCCCTTCTGACACATGCGAAAGGTCATCTTTGGTTCTACTAGGGGAGGAGACAACCTCCAAGTCGATTTCGGTCGTTGTGTTGTTTTGTTGTTGTTGCCAGCAAGAAATCTGCCCCCACCCAAGAAACCAACCGTCCAGTTGCAAGGCCCCCAGCCATCCCCGCCGAAGCCACCTTCCTGTGTCCGTTTCGGGTTTTGCTCTGTCGTTCCTGCAATTCTGTGACCTTTCTCTCCTTCCGTGTGAATTTGGGCCTCAGCTCTCTTGAGTGGCTTTGGTGGAAGCGCTGGCCGCAGGGGCCGAAGGGGGCCGGCCGGCTTTGAAGCCAACCGACGGTGGTGTTTTGGGCCACGCGTTGTAAATCGCGCTTTTCCAAAATGAGGCCTGCTTTGGGGCCATCTCGGATTGCACAGACGCTCCTTGAAGATCCCGAGTTCTCGGAATGGCCCATTTTGCAAGCATAGTGTAGAAAGTTTATTGGGGTGTGTGTGTCTGTGTGTGTGTTAATCAATTTCTTTAATCAATCCCCTCCCCCGCCCCAAGAAAAGGTGATTTTTTCTAAGCCACCTCTGCCCGGATGACGGCTGTAGGGTCCCGACCAGGTTCCTCTGGTGAAACAGTTGCTACTGAGGAGGAGAAACAATTTTAAAAAAAACTGACGATGTGAGATAACGAGGAACACTTGGTCTCCATCGGTTGCATTGATGTTTTCTAGGTTCATTAGATCGCCACCGGCTGGGAGCAAGCACACCGTTCCAATTTTTCTTCCTTAACTCTTGTGTGTTTTATTTTTCCGGGAAACGGGGAAGCATTAACAGTATCTGCTTCCTTCCTTCACTTTGTCTTTTTAAAAAAAAAACAAACACCTCTTACATGTGCCAATTTCTGCCAGAGACGGCAGTTCGTTCCTTGTTTCTTAAAATCGGATCCACTGACATGGGCTGAAAGTTCGTCTACGGAGCCCGCAGCGTCCGATCATCTGGCCGGAAGTGCCACGAATCTTATTTATATGCCAAGAGCGTGCCCGGACATGACCGAGGCGAGGGTCCCCCCCCCCGAGGATGGCTGTGCTCATCATCGTCCAGTTTTTATTTTAAATTGGGGGGGGGACCCCAAATGGTTAACATTATTGAAGGGCCTTGCATAATATTTCTAATAAATACTTTCCGTTGATGAGTTTGGCTCGTGGTGATGCTGGAGAAAAGTCATCGTAAGCTTCTCGTCGTTCCTCTGGGAGGAAGGAAATTACGGTCTTTCGGATATTCACCCCATTCTTTACCCTTTTATAACGACAGTGGAAGGTAGGTCAACGCCGGGTACCCCAGCTTGGAAATGCAGAGCAGAAACAGACAAGAGAGTGGGGTGGGCTTTCTCCAAGAGGTAAGTTTAATTCTTGAGGTCTAAACCAGCCTTCCAAACAACCCCCTAAGCTTATTTTGTTGGTCGCATACATAGATTGACAGACAATCGCAGTCTTTACTTCCACTTATTTGGATGTTTTGATATGCCCTGAGGCTACCGTTATGCACTGTACAATATCCTGGAGGCTTTTAAACTAATAAAAATACAGGAATTAGACTAGTAAGATGCAAACAGGAAATTTCAAGCAAAATTGACACCACGTAGACAGGGATTTATCCAAACTTGTTTAGGTAAGAAACAGGAGTCTACAGGCATGGATTTCCAGCTGGGCTCGGTGGAATGTGACAAATAGACCTGTGGTCGCCCAGAAGATGCCCAGTTTTTCAGCGAAAAAAAGAGGAAGTGCTGCATCTACCCAGAAAAAGAGTACATTTCCTGGTCGGCTGGGGGGATTCTTGTTTGGACCGACATCTCCCAGAATCCCCCAGATAGACAGACAGCATGCTGGGAATTGTAGTCCAGGAAGTTTTCCAAACATTGGCAGAGTGGCCACAAAAGCAGAACCAAGTGAAGTACGAAGGTGCAAAATCACCTGCCCCCCCGAATGCAATTGCCCTCCCCAGCAGCTCCAGAGAAGGGAGTCCTCGCAGCAGGGGCAACGAAGAAGTTGCAGCACATCAAGGCTCAAATCTTCCATCTCCACTACTGGCTAGTCCGGGCCGCCTCCTCAATACTTTGTTCCATTTCCCCCTCCTATGTGGGTTTCCATTCTGCTATCCTGAGAGTCACAGTTTCCAGACAGCTGTGTACACCAAAGCCGCCTACTACCATCTCTGTTCCTAAAAAATATAGATTTTGTATTTTTGCAAA